TAAGTTTTGATGAACTCCTGAAAGAATGGATAAAAAATAAAAATAACCGACCACAGTGGGAGTCGAACCCACGACCTTTTGATCCGAAGTCAAACGCGCTAATCCACTGCGCTATGCGGTCAGGAGATGCTCTCTGTTTTACAAGTATGTTAATTATCTATTAAAATGTAGAACGTATCTGCATTCTCCATGTCTGAACACTTTGTTTTTTTTTTTGTTTTGTTTTGTTTTTCAACAAAGTAAAATGTATTAAGATTAAATAATATGAAATAAATGGAATTATAAATAAATCAATATACATTTTACATATAAATACAAATTTATCAAAAAAAAAAGAACTTGCAATTGTGTACTTAACTACTACAGCATACTAATGATTCACATATAAATATGTGTGTGTGTGTGTGTATATAACAGAAGCAGTACTTAAAAAGTTGTATATTTAATGTTCTAGTCGGAATTGACTTTTGTTGGAAGCATAAATTCAATATTCAAATTCCATTTACTGTTTCAAATACACACAGATATTAAATCAGCACACCAATATTAATACGTAGTGTTATTATATAAATTTTGTAATTAATTAATAATTGACTACTTAATTGTAATCAATTAACTACTTGGTAATATAATAATTAATTATATTGTGATCTCCTTTGTGTTTCTTGCAGGAAAGTATAAATTATTATTATTATTATTAATACAAGAAACAGAAACTATGAGCAAAATGTGACAAAATACACATTAGATTATATATGTTGACTCCAATTTTAAATCAATATAGTTGTTGTCTCATGTGACAATATATATTTTTTTTATAAAACCCAACAGGAGCAAACCACACGTGAGACCCCGCGTAGATTTGATCTCACATTATTCATCTATCCACACTTTACAAAGTGAGAACCTGTTCCCATTCATATACATATACATATACATATACATCTATGTATATATATATAATAACATATATGTATATCCAAATACACGTGCATCAACTCACTATTCTCTTTTATAATTAAGATATATGTTAGTTAATTGTATTTTTCAATCTGTTTAAATAGTTCGTATAAGATAATGCATGAATAACCCATAATATATATATATACATGTATACACACACACAAACAAGTAACCGTTGAATATGAACCGAAAGAGTAAAGAACTATATATGATATGATGGTGCATGGAGCACACCATTTTTGTTATGCGTTAATTGGGCATGGAGCACATCAACGACGAATAATAATATTCAAAAGTTTGGAGTATATACATACGTACGTGTGTGTATATATATATATATGTGTGTGTGTGTGTGTGTGTAATATTATACAGTGAAGGTTGATAGAAAGTGCAGTGGAATCTTTCTAATTTAATAGAATTTCCCACGTTTGAAAATCATATATATAAAAAAAAAAACATCGTGGGCCCCACAACCCTCACTAATCAGATTATATTATGCGTGCATGCATCTTTATGCTTCGATGTTGACTTTCTCGGTCAAACTTAGAACATAATTATCATGGGATAAATGAAGTTTTTCTGGAATTTCCACGTACGCTCTGACGTTGCATGTTGGTTAAATGACATGGACGTAATTTTATTTATTTTTAAATTATTATTAAATATTATTAGTTTCTCTTTTTTTAATTTATTAATTTTTTTTTCATGACTTAACATATGAAAAATATTAATTATCTGAAATTTTCCATTGTATGCTGTCCATATAATTAACTAAAATTATATAGTTTTAATCAGAATTAATATCTTCATCTATCTAGTAATAATTATACACTTCTTAAGTTTATTTAAGTGGTTAGTGTATCACAATAATTTTTATGTACCAAATTTTTGATCTCATAAAAATAAATTTTGGTCACGGACAAAAAACATCTTAAAAACATATACATAATATATATATATACACCACCTGTTAATCAGTAGGTTGGGCATTTAAAATTATCCTATTAAATATTTGATTATGGCCTAATTTAAAATGAATTATCCTTAATTTCTGGAAACATTAAGTCAGAAAAGGTAAATATAAATTATTCTTATAATTATTGATGATTAATGTTAATAATGCAATTAACAGTAAGAAGACGTGTTAATTTAGTCAAAATTGGCCTTTAATTGTTTGTCTTTTCCCATACACTACCATATTCCCGCACTTACTTAGCCACAGAACAAGCAAATCACAACAAAATAAGGTATAGTTTGTCATCATATTATTCAACATAGAATGACAAAAAATTAATTCAAAATTATGAAACTTTTAGGTACATAACATACATATATATATATATATATAAATATATAGATATAGTATATTATAATATATATTAACAATCAAAATATAGTATAGTTGTATCAAGCTAATTGACGAAGAAAACAACATAATATAGATTTTCCTCGTATACTATATATATAATTTCATAAGTGTTAATTTATTTTTCATTATATTTTAAAACATACTTCACAGATAAATGATTAAAATTATATTTTATATAATTAAATTAATGATTAAAAATTATAAATGACGACAATGCTTAAGTAATAATTTACCCTTCGTTAATTTTCATATTGTTTGCAAAACCTAAGGAAAATTCATGTGTTCATGCATATATATATGCACACACATGTATATATACATGTTAATATATACATATATATATATATATAAGCCATAAAGCATACGGCAAATAAGTTAATTAATGGTTGCTTGTATTATAATCAAACAGTTAACTAAAAATTAAAAAAGTAGTAATATAGTATTATACGTGTAAGTATATATATATATATATGTGTGTGTAAAAGAAATGAGAGGGAGGTTAAGAGAGAATGAGTCCAAAAATTGTCTGGAAGAAACAGTCTTAAGTCTGTCCTATATTATAAATACTGTAGGCAGCGTATGTATACATACTCTGACTCAGTTAAACCCACTAGAGAATTTTCTTTAATTTAAGTCCAATATTAATTCATTATAATTATATGTATTAAGTGAATTTTAACCTTCATTTTAGCACCACTAATAAATTAAATCATAAATATATTATAGAATAATACAAAATAATAACTGTTAAATTTATAATACTGATATAAAATAATAAATACATTTAATTAAAAATATTAATTTACACTACCACGCATCATTTATATAAAGAGAGATACATATATATGTGTGTGTATATATATGTACCTATTAAAAATAATTAGATGCCATGAAATTTTTACCAGTAAACCAACGATTGCTTGGAGAAATCATGTAGTTGACCACATACATGTAATTAAACCTTTTGCTTAATTGGACCATTTCGCTTGTAATTATATACAAACATACCACCCACTATATACAAACATATATATATATATATATATATGTTTTCAAACTTTGAATAATAATCAACCATAAAGCTATTTGGTAACCATTTAATCATTATCAGATTCAAACTTATAATTAATTAATAATAATCTCAATGTTCATTGGATTTTTTAATTAAATAATTAATTACGTATAGTCTAAAAAAAAATGATAGTTATTAATTATTAATTCTAATTATATGGCATTAATCTATTGAATTACGGTAATATTGGAACAAGAACTTTATTTATACATATATATAAAAAAAACAATATGCTTAAAACTATATATATATATATATATATATATATATATATACTATATAGTATATAACGTTGTTATTAAAATTGGACCGACGTGATTCATGCCAAGCAAAATGGAGCGAATTTGAATGATAAAACCAGAGAAGAATAATCAAATTCAATTGATTCAAACAATGTGATTTGTTCATTAGTTTGTATAATAAAATTAGCTGTAATCTATTCAATATATATTTTATTTTATATATTTAAATATTAAAATTTAATATTTTATAACAAATATATTATGTATACATAGAATTATGAAAATTATGTAAAAGAAAATTAAATTTTAACTTTATAATAACTTCTGAACCGACTATATATATTATAGTCTATGAATTATAATAAATATTGGTGCAAAAATGAAGTGAAGGAAATCAAACGTAGCTTCACAATTAATAGCTTATAATAAGAAAAGTCGAAAACTGCTCATTCAACATAAAGTTTTGGATCCTAACAATTCTTAATCAGCAAATGATATGTAATTAAATCGATGGACCCAATTAGTCAAAACAAATTAATATTCGACTAAATCCCATATACGATTCAATTACATGACAGATTGAAATTTAATTATTCGTAAACACTATTAAATTAATGTAATTAATTTTAATTTATAATTAATTGTTTCTGAAAGAAATTTTCTTCGTTATGGAAAAGAATTTCTTAATGCATGACAGAGTTAAATAGAAACAGTCAAATATTATTGTGTACGTGCATGTGTATATGTATATGTATATGTATACATACATTCAATTTTCAAGAACCAAAGGAAGAAATTTATTGGACAGGCAGACCCCTGTTTATAGGTGGCACTCCGATTATGGGGTGTTAGTTTTGTTTAATTAATAATTATGGAGAGACTAATATCGTTCTAGAAATTAATTATAATTATTTAATAAAATTTTTAAATAAACTAAATAAAGTTTGCTATTTTTTTTTTAAAAAAATTATATTATTAAGTGTTTCGGAAAAATTGGTAGTTTTATAAATATATTTGATTCATTTTGAATATTTAATAAAAATTATGAAAATATAATTTATTTATATTCATAATATGGGTAGTAATTTTTTACGAGATTAATTCACTTAAAAAAAATTATAAAATTGAAATTTATAATAATTAGTTAAAGATACCAAAAAATCCAAATCTTATTTTAAAAATAATATAATTATGAAAATTATTTAATTTACAAAAGCAATTAAGAAAGGGTGAACAATTTTAACACCGCGTGGGGACGTCTGACTCAACAGAAGCAGTCAACCTGTCTTCATCAAACCCCTCTTCCCCACCATTACCTTCTGTTCATTCTTTCTATAAATCCCTCCTCTCCTCTCCATTTTTCTCACACCAAACTTTGTCACAATATCAAAAAAGTCGCCATTAACAAACTCAAGCTTCATACTTTCGAATACCCATTTGCCCACTACTCTCTCTCTCCACTCTCTTTGGAATCTCCTCCAACTTTTTCTGCTTTATTCTTCTTCTTCCTCAAAGACTTTTTCTGTCACCTTTTCTGGATATCAACAATCATGAGGACTGCCTTCTGCAAATCTCCATCTCCTTCCAGAGCTTTAAACGCCACTCCACCGGTATCTCCGCCGCGCCATACTTTCTCTGATACTTTAATGGAGGAAAACATCGAAAACGCCGAAGGAATTATCAAGAGATGGAGTTCGGAGAGCTCCGTTTCTTCTCACTGCAACGTCGAATCTCTTTTCAACATCAACAATCGCCATGAAGCTACCAGCTTCATTAAATCCGTCGCAGATCTTCAATCCGCCATGCGCTACTACGTTTCCGAAAATCCCGGGTCTGAGAAGCTCGTTCGAGCGCAGATCCTCATGCAGGCAGCGATGAAGATATTGGAGAAGGAGTTTTACCAGATGTTGAAGGCGAACCGGGCACATCTTGACCCGGAATCTGTCTCGACCCACTCCTCCAGAATTTCAAGGTCAAGCGGTAGCTTATCAGATTTCGAAGATGATTCTGACGACGATCTCTCTCGGGTTTCCGATAGGGAGAGCGCTTCGGCGTTTATGACGAATCGAGCAATGGCGGATTTGAAGACGATTGCTGACTGTATGATATCGGCGGGCTACGCGAAGGAGTGCGTGAAGATTTACAAAATTATTCGAAGATCAATTGTTGATGAAGCTCTGTATGTGTTGGGAGTTGAGAGGCTGACCTTCGCGCAGATTCAGAAGCTGGACTGGGATGTTCTCGACGGGAAGATCAAGAACTGGTTGAACGCCGTGAAAGTTGCCGTCAAAACACTTTTCTTCGGAGAGAGATTGCTTTGTGATTACGTCTTCTCCTCTTCTCCGGGGATTGGAGAATCCTGTTTCTCGGAAATCACAAAAGAAGGAGCTCTTACTCTGTTTGGCTTCCCAGAAAATATAGCGAAATGCAAGAAAACCCCCGAGAAAATGTTCCGCACACTCGATCTCTACGAGGCAGTATCTGAACTCTGGCCGGAGATTGAGTCAATATTCTCTTTCGAGACCACCGTTACAGTCCGGACCCAAGCCGTCAACTCGCTTCTCAGACTCGGTGACGCCGTACGTACAATGTTAACAGACTTCGAAGCAGCAATTCAGAAAGATTCGTCGAGAACGCCAGTTCCCGGCGGAGGAGTCCACCCGTTAACTCGCTATGTCATGAACTACCTAGCTTTCCTCGCCGATTACAGCGGGGAGATCGCCGATATAGTCGCCGATTGGCCACTCACGTTACAGTGCCCGTTACCGGAATCTTACTTCGGCAGCCCGGATTCCAACGACGGCGTTTACTCATCGCCGGTTTCCGTCCGCCTGGCATGGCTCATCCTCGTCATGCTCTGCAAACTCGACGGCAAAGCCGAAATCTACAAGGACGTTCCACTCGCCTACCTTTTCCTTGCCAACAACCTTCAATACGTCGTCGTAAAAGTCCGGACCTCTAACCTCAGGCTCCTCCTCGGCGACGCCTGGCTTTCCCGCCACGAAGCCAAAGTAAAACAATACGCCGCCAACTACGAGCGCATGGGCTGGGGCAAGGTGCTGACGTCACTTCCCGAGAATCCTGACATTCCGCTGGAGCAGGCTAAGACTCGGTTCAGGACCTTCAACGCAGCGTTTGAGGAAGCGTACAAGAAGCAGAGCTCGTGGGTCGTACCCGACTCGAAGCTCCGAGATGAAATTAAGCTGTCGTTGGCGAGGAAACTGGTTCCGACATACCGGGAGTTCTACGAGCGTTACCGGGTCGGGTTGAAGAAGGAGACATGGTCAGAGTCGTTGGTCAGATTTGCCCCCGACGATCTGGGGAATTACCTTTCCGACCTTTTCTTTGGAAACGGCGGGCCCGGGAGCGTCTCGTCATGTTCTTCGGCATCTTCGTCCCCAGGACACTCGAGAGGTGGCCGTAGTAATTGAGACGAGTTTTTGGGTTTAGTACGGGAATTAATCGCCGGCCAAACACGATGGGACGTTACTTTTAGCCGTCATATATTTTGTGGATAAAAGTAATTTGGACCAATATGAATTATTTATTATTAATCACGTGTATACAGACGTTGTTACGGGATAGAGAAATACAAAATTCTTTGATTCTTTAGGGATTTAATTTAATTTGTTCGAATATTATATTAGTCGTATAAAATCAATAAATATATTAATTAACTGTTTTGATATTAGTTAATCAGAATAATTAAATGCATAATTTTGAAGATTAATAAAAGGCGTGATTACACAAATGAATTAATATACGAGTAAACTTTTTTTGTTTTTATTTGATTATTATTATTATTTTTTTGGTAACATGTATCTGCGTCGTATAATGTATCAAATAAATGTAGTTTGTTTTTTTATTGCAAGTTGACGTGAACCCGCCAACCATACGAAGAGTATATTTTCTGTTTTCTTAATATTATATAATATATGTGTGACAGATGAAAGGATAAGGATTGAATGGTCTAAAACATACCCAATAAATACTTTTGAGGTTTAAAATGGATATGACCCCACAAGGCCCTTTTGACAAATTAGTTATACCTGGTGGGCTTAATTAGGGCCCATTTGCGATAATAAAAATGGGCTTATATTATAATGAGACTGCTATTTTAATGGCCCAAAATTTCATAATTGTTACCACTCAAGGCCTGAGCCAACTCGGACTTATTGGGCCGTGAACTCAGCTTCAACTCGGGCTCTGGCCCATTGGTAGCTCCTACAATTATCTGCCCTCAGCTTCTTTCTCTAATCCGTCCAAAAACTCGGATTTCCAATTATATGTGCATATATAAACACAAGCGTTTTTTTTTTTTTTTTTTTCGGAAATTCGTATGAAAGTTTATATGGAATTTAAATTTTTTTTTTTTGTAGATAAATAAAATGTGAATCTATAAACAGCTTTTACAAATTAAATTTATGATATGTTCGGAAAAATTTGATAAAAATTTTAACTGTTTTGGAATATTTATTTTATCTATAAATATAATAAAATAATTGAGACTAAAACCGACTTGATTATTACAGTTCTATTAATAAGTAAAGTTTTAATCTTATTAAATCAATAATTATAGGTAATTCATTTTTATTTTAAAATATATTTAAAATGATAAGTTATATATTTTTAATAAAATTTAAATTCGTAATTTTAAAAAATAGTACAATATTCTTAACTATTAAATTGTAATATTATTAGCATAATATAAATTATTTTTATGAGAAAAAAATAGTATAATTATATATATATTTTTTTTGTTGTAATAATTTGTCCCTAAATTACTATAAAAAGACAAATATTATATGGATTCAAATTGAAACTCGGTAGCATATATATTTTTCAATGCTCATCATTTATAGATAACATATTGGATGCAAACTCATAAATTTATCGCAATTTGAAAAAATAAAAAGAAAAATTCAAACTCATTATGAGTTCAAAGTATGTTCGAGTTTGATTTTTATACGGATGTGTTATATTTGGTGTAATATTTGAGTCAAAAATTTGGTTCAAAATTAATTTTAAAATTTTAAAAATGTATAAAAATATAATTTTAAAATTAATAAATTTTTATTTAATGTGAAATTAAGAAAAAAAAATAGGTTAAGAATAAAATTAAAAATAATTTTAGAAAAAAAAATATGAAAATTTGGGTTCGGATTATATTTTTTAAAGAAAAATCAGAAATTGGAGGTCAAAACGCAATTAAAAAAATTGCACCATGTAAGACCATCTAGTTAGTAGCCCCGACGAACCAGAGCGTGTTATGTGGCAAATCACGTTGACTTGGTGCCATGTGGGAGGTCACGCTAGCAATCTGTGTGCCTGCGATCGGACGATCCGGAAGCATTCTCGCGTGTGTAGATGGTCTGAATCCGTTCCTTCCTCAGATGCGATCGGACGGTCACGATTAAACGCGATGAACGGTCCAGATTCTTTTCATATTTAAACGCAATTGGACGGTCGAAATTAAATCGTGATGAATGGTTCATATTTATTTCCTCTTTAAACACGATCGGACAGTCGAGATTAAACGCAATGAACGATCCAGATTTAAACGAGATGAGTATAAATATCTCGCATCACACCGAATCCAAACCCTAGCCACCAATCTCTGCCAAAGAAGAAAAAACAGTCATCGGAGAAGGGAGCCGATTGCCTCTTGCCACCGCATCGGTGCCACCTCTGACTGCCTAAAAAGGTAAAAAAACTTATATCTGCTCGGAATTTGATTCTGAGCATTCTCATGGCCAAATTGGAGCAAAAAGAATGACGGATGAGCCAGTAACTATGAGCAAAGCCTGGTGCTGCCACCGCAGGCAAAATTCGAAACTGCCTCTGATGAGCCCCTTCCCGTTTTTCGTTTCCTGTTTTGTGTGATTTTTTCACCATTGTGTTAACTGTTCTGTTTTCTATAGGCTGACAGAAGAAAAATGTCCAGTTGCGAAGTTGAGTCGGCGGAGCCGCCACATCAAAAAATTTCTCCGCCAGTAGGTTTTCGTTTTTTTGAATTTTTTCAGCTAACCAAGGCCCCCTAACGTGATTTCTCACTGGAATGGGTATATATAACGCCCTGTTTTTTTTTTCAGTAGTGTTGTCTCAAATAGATTAGTATACAGAATACTCGTATCTCATTTTAAATCAATCACACACATAAAGAAAAGTACTGCAACTAATTACTCAGTTTCTAATAGAAAGTCTCAACCGCAAATACCTCAATATAGTAGCTTACGAATTACATAAACCTTTATTTTTATATATGGTTTACACTGTTACCAAACACGTAACTATCCTGTTCTACCAGTAGTAAACCTTGCTCCATCTCCTCTATATGCTAAGTTCAGAAATCTACAACTCCGATCTCGTCTCCAGTCTTACTTCATTTGTAAGTAATAGAGAATGAGTACATATAACTCAGTATAGTAAATTTAAATTTCAAATATAGCATGGAAACCCAATCACAAACCTATTCTTCTATGTTTCCTTTCCTGTTACCTTGGT